ACTTTATTTTTTTTTTTTTTTTTTGACTCGTACTAAAAAAACTAAACCGACTAAAATCACAACAGAAGCAAAATGTTCTTCTTTTCTCGAGAACGTTTTTACGTAATAAAATTGTTCGATGTACGTAACGTACGTGATATTTAACATCATCATTATCGCGCAAAAAACATACGTGTGGCAATTAGGACACAACGTTCTAATTAATCAATAAATCTGTCATTAAGACTCGGCTCTCAGCAGATGATCGAACATCCTGTATATTTTTTTTTCCGCGAAAGAAATGAGTCACGTCTTATTAATCTTACGACATTCCGTATTTTTTTTTTTTTCGTTTTTAATATTATACTTATTAGATTATTCATTCGAGATTGTTTCTCGTTTGATTAACAGATTATTCATAGTTAAGAAATACACACACGTATAAAAAAAAATATTTTAAAAGATGTATGTGACGTGACTTCAAAATTAGTTATTGTTATAAATTCAACATAATGCGCATATACATTTGCACAATTAAAAGTTTTAACAAAATAAGCTCGCGCGTGCAAAAAAAAAAAAAACAACTTAGCTCGCCCCGGAGATGTGTTTTTAATTTAAATATAACATCATAACACCCGCATAATATTGCGTATTATCATATTTACGCGATACAACAGCATTATATTTTGCACAGTAACTTTTTCTTGAATAAAAACGTCTTCAACAAAGTTTTTAAGTAATTTTACTTTTGATTAACGAGCAAATTATACGCGCGACTCCTTTAGTTTTAGACTCGCGCGAGTCTAGTTAGAAGCACTACTAAGTCTCTTGTCCGAGTTGGTAATATTGCATGTTGTGTTATGTGTTGAGGAAAAAAACCAAGTAATCGCGCTTCGTACGAAATAAGCTCTTCTCTGTGTCTAATCTTGGTCGTCGTCCTTTTGAACTTGACGATTTCCACGTTGGTGAAATTTTCCGGTATCGCGCGCATTCTTCGACTGTGCGGTTTAGGCTTAAAATACGATACAAATGGAGCCAAGAGAGGCTCGCAGTTCACACATAAAGTGTATTCTAAGCCGCGCGACACTTATATAACTCCCTCGGCCAGAACTTCATGCGGATCGCCTCAAGCAAAAATATCTCACCTTTCCTAGCAGTCTCTCTCTCTCTCTCTCTCTCTTTCTTTTTCTTTCTCTCCTTGTAGTTATACGTGACGATATACTTCAATGCGTTGTTATTTCGGTAAAGAACGAGCAATCTGCTGACGAAATCCTGTCACAATCCTATGTATATCTCGATCGGAAAATACACACATACATATTGATACGAGCGTGTAACTTTTATTAAGTGTGATGATGATAAGCAAAAAACGCGGTAAAAATCTAAAGCTTCGATATCGACGAAATTCATCTTTGAATACGTGTGGGAATATCTTTTATCTTCGCTCGTAAAGAAGAAAATTTATGCAACGCTCGTGTGTGTGTGTGTGTGTGTGTGAGAGAGAGTACGATAGTGTAAGTAAAATTCAGCTGACTCACCAAATAGATAGTGTTATTTTTAAACACGCTGACGAAACGTCGAAAAAAATATTGTTGATTATACCGCGTAAAAAGATAATGCACGAGCGAGTAGTATACGCTTCCCGAAACAAAAGTAGGAAAAAAAAAAAAAAAACTTAAGATATCCGCGAGAAATGTAAATGCGTCATTTAGCATCGCGACCGGTCTCCGATGTATGTAACATACATACGTTTGTTGTTCCCAATCGACAGTTTTTTTTTTCCCCCCCCCCGGTCTAGCGTTACCGCGTTAACTGCAAATGCCAATACACACAAGTGACAACATAAACGTGTGTAAGTAGAAGCGTCGTATATACCTGGAGAAGGAAAAAAAACTGCGGAGTCGCGTCACGTCGCAACGTTTCTCTTGTTCCTCACAAAGCGACCGTTCGTCGTCGTCCGTCGTTGTCGTCGTGCGCGCCGTCTTTTGTATCTCGGTGCAAGACACCGTGTAGAAAGGTCATAATGATCTCATATCTTTATTCATAAACATCACACACACACACACACACACCGACCATAGGCGTAATACGAAGAAGACGGAGAGAGATGGAGAGGGGCGGAGACGAGAAGGGTATCGCCAATTTTTCATACTAATTCGGGCAACAAATCGAATTGTCCGCATTATTTCAACAACTGTTCATTATTTGCAGGATTTTTTTTCTCGCAAAGCTATAAAAATCGAACGATAAAAAGATAACCTTATTCTCGTCAATATAAATCGATAAGAGAGACGGTTTCGAACTCCAATTGAGATTTGTCGATAATAGATTTATACACGGGACCTTCTCTGGATGGGAGCTTCTGCTAAGCCGTAAAGCTTATGTAATAAAGAAGCTTAAGTTCAAGCTGAAGCTTATGTAAGTAGAAGCTTGTATATAGCTCGCATATATATATATGTTCCTGGTTATGAAAGTAGGTTTTACTTTTAAAAATTCCCGACGATTTTTGTCGAAACGCTTCGCGTTTTTTGATTTTCGCAGCAAATTCGCTACAAATTGCGCGACCCGTGAAAGACGTTAAATCCGAAAATATCACAACGCAATACGATCAATACGCGACGCAAACGCGCGACTCTTCTAATAATTCTCTGGTTAACCACTCTTCTGAAGCACACATTGAGAAGCGACAGTGTTTTGCTTTCGAGTGAATTCGGATTGTAAAAAATAAAAAAAAATAAAAAAAAATAAAAAAAAAAAACGCGGATTTGAGATATAATTAACACACAGTTGAGAGACGACGTCTGGGAACGTACGTCATTTACTCCGTAAACTCGTCTGACGGCGCAAAATGTTAAAACGCAGTTTCCGGACACCTAATGCGGCAACGATCGGTTTTCACTACCGCGTGTTGCAACAACACACAATCGGAATCGGTTAATGTCTTTATCATTGCACATGACTTTGCATTTACTATTAAGCCAGAGAGAGTTTATTAACGCGGCGGCACAAAGCAATCGTACGTCGCAAAAGTTCGGAGCATGTATCACGGATAAAACCGAATGCGTTCGTTTGCATTGCGCCGTCACTTACGAATGTACATTTGAATGGCGTTTGTATGTATATGCGTAAGAGAGAGAGAGAGAGAAAAAGATAGAGATTAAAACGTTACAATAAAATTTTAGATTCTTAATGTTCGTAAACTCTTAATGTTCGTAAACTCTTAACTAACTTTCAGAATGCGGATGCTTTGCGGTCGAATGCGGTCATTTTGATTCACGGCGATTAAATTTCCATCGTGTGCATAGTTTCAGAGAAAGAGAATTCCTTAATAATATTGAAATACATATGTATTAAATGGACGTGCTTGTATTGTACAAATTATAAAATTTCTCGGTATATATGTTTTCGAGAAGACACTTTACAATTGTTCGTTTCTTTTTGTCCATTTGTTCGTTGAGTTAAACAAAACATCGCATTAACGAACAAAAGTGAGTAAAGAAATGAATAAACGAAGTGAATAATCTAACTGACTTGACATTGTTCAACGAGAAATTGTTCTTCGTAATTAACCCTATATATCTTATCTCGAATGAATATCATCGTGTCTTTCAGTGTATTTTTTTTTTTTTTTTTTTTTTTAACAAAATAATAGATCAATCTCGACTATAAGATGCAATTGAGATTAGAACGGCGCGTGTTTCGAGATAAACGACAACGGCGACCACGTAACATCAACTTTTACGTCTGCATTGTGCGTCGCAACAGAATATATTTCTACGAGCTCACGGTGAAGAACTCTCTCTCTCTCTCTCTCTCTTTTTCTTTTTATTCTCGCGCTGTATGACTTCGCGACGACGACTTCAATCAACGAGGCGCGGATGCGTCTGTCTTGCGTAAATCGCGATTTTTTACTGCACACTAACGTCACGTCAATGCTCTCAGTATATATATTTTTTTTAATCTAATTTAATCAGCAACGTCTTAATATTTTTAATCAGAGAAGCTTCTTATCTGAAGTTTCGTGTCGTCTTACGACTGAGCACATCCGATTGAAAATATTACGTGACCTTTTTTTTAGCGAGTATTCCGAGACATTTAAATTCACGCTGGTTAGTGTGTCCATTGTGCACGAGCGAGTTTCGTAGGAAACAGATGTGCTTGTTTTTAGGTAGATGGTTTCGCGTTGTGGTATGCGGTTGCTTTTCAAGCGGGAGAGACACCAGCGGGATCCAGATCTGTCAGACGGACGTTTGAGAAACGAGCAATTTTTGAGTTTCCGTTCACGAATACCCATCGCACAGATCCGTGTGTCTCTCTCTCTCTCTCTCTCTTTCTCTCTTTTTCGTAGGCGGATACCTGTCGAACGCACGTTCCTGCACGCGTTCCGCCGTCATTTTTCCCTTCTTTTTCTCACTATCTTTCTCTCTGTTTTTCTTTCTCTCTCTCTCTCTCTCTCTTTCTCTCTTTCTTCCCGACCATCACACCGATTCGTCGGACTTTGTCTGTGGACTTTCCTTCTTAAAATACACACGCCGCGCGCTTGCCGGTCGTATCAGCTTTCAATCCGTGTTCTCCGGTTCGTCGAGCGACCCGTGTGTGTGTGAATTTCGAACTTCAGACTCGATTAAATTCAAGCATTCTTGTGTGTCGTATTTTCGCGAGAAACCATTGTCAAGAGTGAGATTTACCCGAAAAAAAAAACCAACCAGAAAGAAGAGCAAGTTAAATAAACGTTCTTTAATTTAAATCGCTGGATTGAGAAGAAAGTTAACAGCTCGGCGCAAGTATGCGCGCAATTATTTGTAATGAAATTAATATCGCATAAGGACAAACATTTCAAGCGTCTCGGGTTCATCCCGAGCTTTTTGTAAAATCTAGAAAATACATGTGTATGTATCAGACAGTCTCGGAATGTTTCATGGTAGAAGATCACTCTACTTTCGCACACATCGGAAAAACCAATCGAACCAAAGCAACGATTCCGATGAATTGTGACGCATAAAAAGGGAAAGAGAACTTACCTGTGCAGCTGCACGGGAGTGGACCTCGCAGGTAGGTGCTGGTTATGCGAGACCGGTGGTTGGGCCTGACCCCTGCCAGGATTCGACGTCGCGCCGACGAGCGAGTGACTGTGGGGATGACCGTGGGGGTGGGTGTGCGGGTGTGGAGGATGGGCGTGCGGGTGAGGGTGATGATGATGATGCAGATCTGCCCCCACTGGGCCCACAGGGCCCACTGGACCCCCCACCCCCAATCCACTCACTACCTGAACTTGCTTGCCCACTGTCTCCATCACCCCTAGCGCATTGTGAACTGAAACAGACAGAAAAAATAATAGAAAATTTCACATTTCAGTCGCAACATATTTTATAATATGTGATAAACAATTTGTAAAATTTTCAGATTGTGACACAGTAAGACAAAAATATTGGGAACGTAAAATATTGGGAAAAACTGCGCGAGGATTTTGAACACGGCTTTGCGAGAAATAAAGTAAACATTTAGAAATTGTGTTGCGCGCGAATTAATAAAAATCACGTAATATTTTTAAATAAACAATTAAAGAGAACTGTTTTCAACGGATCTTTCATGTGTCAATGTTTGTGGCAATTTCGAATATCGATTCTCGTAAAGCTAAAGGTGTTTCTTCGCCAGGAAAATTATTTTCAAAAATATCGGCAGATGCAGCGACCGTTGCGTTGTTTTCGAGTTTGAGTCCATCTGAAATCGCGTTCGTCTTTTACTGTTTCGTTTGTAGAAAAGCTATCAGCAAACCGACACGACCATTTAATAGCAGATCAATTATGGCAATACACTCGTCACCGATATCGCTCAATTATCATTGACGGTTTTTCATACGTCCACTTAGCGAATAGATTGAATACATGAATACGTAGCAGTCGAGTCATGACACCGCGGAAACGCATAGTCTGTTTACTGTGTCTTTTATTTTGCAATGACGCGAGGCGGTATCAATCGTTCGCGCGGAGATTAAAAAGGCAACACACGAACGCGCGCACATCGCGCAATATGCAATTACAGGTACATACATTCAAAACGGGAAGTTGATTTTCTTGCCGATTCACTCTCCATGTGCCTTTGCAAAGGCGCAAAGCGCGCGTCTATTAACGCTACAGAGCGGAGAACCAGAGATCTGATTTTTTGTTTTTTTTTTGTTTTTCAATCTTCCCCGTCGTGTAGTTACGTCAGTCAGCAGAGAAATGCAACACGAAATAAAATGAAAACAAAAACAGTAAGATGTAAAATTGCGAACTTGACGTAAAATCAGTTGGAATTGAATTTTCCCAACTCTGCTTTTGATTCTCTTTCGGATTTTCTCGGGAATCAGAAAATGATCGACTCGAATCGCGTCGCAGGGCATCTCGAAGACATCTCGTTACACATTACGGCATGACTTGCATACTTATAATAAATTCTCGTCTCATATGGCGAGCATAAATGAACTTGGGAGACGCACACGGGATAATACATACATATATTCATGTCGAATAACAGACGAGATGGTGGACGAATATAAGTGCACGTGTACAAACGTGGCATAATAAAACGCGAACACGTACACACAGGTTCCGTGTAGCGCATAAATTTATTTACGTGTCTTTTTCTATCAACGTGAAAATATCCCGTGACAATATATAAATAGCGATATTTCTCAAATTCTAACGAGACCTATATTCTCTCAGCAATCTCTTTTGGTTTATCGATTTGATTAAGTGTGAACTTGTAAATGTGCACTTGGTAATGAGTTAATTTTGTTACGCTACTAAAGTTAACTGATACGCGCTAATGCATCCTTGTGAGTATTTTATGTACATACGCGTACATATGTAAATATATGTACACGTGAAGGTATGATTTGGAAAATACGAACGATCTATAGAAAAACAGAAAAATATATTTCAACTAACAAGATTTTCTACAAACTAAATCAAACATCAAGAAAACATGGAGAGAGAGAGAGAGAGAAATTTTCTAGAAAAAGGAATTTTTTAAATAATAAAATAATTAGTAATATTAGTAAAGAACAAGTTTTTAAATAATAAAATAGTTTTAAATAATAAACAGTTTTTAAATGAAATAATAATATTAATAGAAAAAAAATTCTCGTAATTCTGTGCTTTTAATTCAGCAAAAAAAGAGAGAGAGAGAGAAAAGTGAAACACAGTTTAAGATTTTCTTTTTAATTAACGCGGGCGAGTTTGATCGACTCGCGCTCTCTTATGCGATTAAGATTAACGAGGGTATAGAACCGTGTTCCATAAAAAGCAATATAAAGTCGTGGACTTTTAGTGCGACGTTATAGATCGTGTTCGTGCGGTGTGTGCTGTCTGCCTGTTCTAGCAGCAGACAGCGGGCCGTCGTCACGCGATCGCCCGCCGCAATTCCGCAAAGAAAGGAAAAGTCTGCGACGCGATGTGCAATAGGCATCGTTATGCGCTCTCACCGCCGCATTTATAACGGCACTATAGTAATAGTAATCAATGTGCAAAACGTAGAGAAGGGGAAAAAGAGAGAGAGAGAGAAACGCTCAAGGAGAACGAATCGAGAGCAAATCAAACTCACGAGTGTGACGCAATACGCGAGCGGAATCGACGTTCGTAAATTCGGGCGTTTGAATCAAACAACACGGGAAACACGCTAAATTCATGGCTGTAAGCACACAAGAGAAATTACAGGAAACGTATATTCAATCGCTTGAAAATATATTTAATCGCTCCATAACATCCAGTCAAGTTTAAGGCGACGCCTTTCCTTCCTCTTTATTATTGGCAAGTTCGCGCTAAGAGAATTTTTATAATTTATTATCGTTAAATGTTTTCTTTTTCCAGTTTTGTTTCGAAATTCTCGATAACACGTCAGAAGTTAAGGTCGAAAAGCAATTACGATCAATTCTTTACAACGTTACGGAATATAACGGGATATCTCTCTTTTCGAAGCTTTATTCGTTAAAATTCACAATCGCCAAAACTCCATTCTATACGTACATCAAAAACTTTTTTTTTCACCTTTGTGAAGAAAAACCAGATTTCCAATTGTACATATATCGAAACTCAATCTCTCTTTCTGCAAACGGATTGGTAGCGTCAAATACAGAGGAATCATTATTTCGATGAATATTAATTACGCGCGCAAATTAATATACACAATTCGGAGCACTGACGTCGCACACGTCATAAAAAAGAAATATTGACAAATAATGACGAACGCGATTATAATAGCAATCGCGTAAGATAATAAATATTTTAAAGAAAAAAATTCGGCTTGTGTAAATTCGAGATCTTATTTGCGACAAGCTCACGGAATGGATGGCGTGCGTGAGAGACAAGCGATCTATTTTTTTCGGCAGAGATGCGAGGAACACACGGGAGTTACGTCACGTTTACCGTCACCAAGTTATCAAAACGCACGCTCGCGCGCGCGCGCGCGCACACATAGGGGCCGGGGGGTATCTTACGAGCGGGCGGTGCACACTACGGCGTGTGTGCACCTGCCTTGCACCGCTAAACTAAAAATGACGTTCGGACAGCGGGTCCGCACGCAGGACGCGGGGCCGCGCTATTAAAGCTGAACTGCTCGGTAGAGGAGAGCGCGAAGTCGACGAGACACATTTCTCTCATTTAGCTCCGACGACTCGCGCGCTATAGGACCCTCTCTCGTCTCGTCGAGAGTTGAATTATCGAAGGTTCTGTACTCCGTAAGCAAAACATTTAAGCGCGAAACCGCGTGTATTATTAATTTCGATTGTAACCAAAAGACACAAAAAGTTCTAAATATTGTTAAAATTAAAATCTCATAATAAACGCAAATGATATTTTATCCGATAATGTAGGACGAAATCTCAAGTGCCTAAGTGGACTAGACATACAAATCGGTTAATGGCAAACTTAGCAGGTCTTCGACTTCGTCAACATCTACACTATGTACCGTGAACCAGCGCGTTGGCGATCAACAAGCTGAAAACCAGTTTTCGTGCGGAACGCATCCTAGCAGGATTAGTTTTCGAACTTGAAATCCGAGTAATAATAATCTGTCTATGAAAATTAATAGTTGCGGAACTACCCGACTCTCTCTTTTCGTTCCTTTGAGGCATCAAATTGTATGTCATGAATAATAATAAAAAAATAAAACAAAATTTTACACTTTTCTCGGCGGTTTTGTTCGTGCATTCACAACTGTTTGGAGACGAAACGTAAATCGTGTCGGTAAAACGGAAAATTTTCAGTATGACAAATGTGTCGCCAAGAGATCTCTCTCTTCCGTCTTCGTTCTATATACGTATAGTCTCTTTTCGTTTTCTTTTTTCTCCACATCTTTTTCTCGTTCTCTCTCTCTCTCTTTCTCGCTCTCTCACACACTCTCGCGCTCTCTTCCGCTCCTCTCGTCCGTTTCCACGCTTTCTCCCTCCGGAGTACCCCAGTCCCATTCTAGCCACGGTCGCTACCCACTCTTCGCGTCCCTCTCGGTCTCTCTTCGTCGTCGCGTCGACTGTTTTATACTGGAACGCGGATCGATATCGGGGAGTCCTATATAACACATCCATAAAAGCGGGATATACGAGAAAGAGAGAGAAAGAGAGGGAACGAGAGACGAATGCCCGAGGATGTTCTCGCGGTCGCGACAAACATGCGGAAATGAGAGAAAAATTAATTAAAGGTGCTGCGGGTTTCGTAAATTTACAATATGAAATATATACAAAATACAAAAGACACAAATATTTTCACCCGTAATAAGAAAATTATTACATTAAATTTGTTTTCACAAAAATGATTTTACCAAGCCAACTATTTTGTTACGTAATACCGTTACGATTGCACTAATTAATGCGATGAAAATATATGTGCGAATATAAATATGTAGGAATAGAGTTTAATTTCCTCAATTCGCTCTCTAAAAAAACTAATGAACATTTCATTCTGATTTAAGTTCTCGTAACAGAATTATAATGTAAAATATTCACATATTTTACAAAACATGCTATTAATAGGTAAACAAAATGCATTTTATTAATATCTGTTTTTTTTCTCAGAAAATATGTTATATATATGTATGTATATTTTCAGAAAAAAAACAACGACATACTCTGTGAAACTTGATTCGGCCATATGGCCGAGAAGGAATTTTGCTGTCGTAGCACAAGATCACCACGAACTGAAATGAACCGAACTTTGCTCTCTCTCTCTCTCTCTCTCTCTCTCTCTCTCTCTCTCTCTCTCTCTCTCTGACGTAACCAATTCCTGATATTACGGAAAAATCATTTGGCTTGGCAAAATAGAAAAAAAAATTTTTGCTGGTCAAAGATCAAATCTGAAATTAAAATTTAATTTACTTAAAATTTGGTCGTTTTATATCTCAATTTTGATCTTTCAAGTTTTTAAAATTTTGAATTAAATTTCTAAAAATTGCACAGTGTATATCCATAACTTCAGGAATTAAGGTTAATTAAATCACATCTGCGCACTTAACTAAAAAACTCTTAAAATCGATATATCAAATCTTTCATACGTTGTACGCGTTATAATTTAATGTAAAAAAAAAAGCTTGACTTTCAATTTAAAAGTACAGTTTAAATTATAAAATTGCAAAGTGAACGTATTATTGTGCGCGTGTTGCATAGTTTGCACAAAACTTTGCAAAATAACGTTTGTGTTTTCTACTAATACTTTCACGAACTACTCCGATATACGGAAAAATGATCGACGGTGGTTATTACCGTTCTAAAAATGGTTTCGACGAACATATGTTCTTCATTATATGCCTACCCTTGTTTCAACTTTCTCTAAAATCGTCCGTCGTCAGTCTGCCCAGTTCAGCGTGTCTGCATCTCGTCTAACTTTACAGAGACGGCAAATGAAAAGAGACACATAAACTGTGGAGCTCGAGTCAGTCATCCTTTCTCGAATGCTCGAAAAAGAAGAAAGAACGACGAGCTCGTGTGATAGAACCAGTAGCGTGGAGTTTGTTGTACGCTCACCAACGTCACATAAGAACCACACATACACACACATACACACGCGCTATACACCGACTAGAAGGCCGTTATACCTGGAAAGGATCAGGCACATCCAGTTTCATACGGTCAGAATTTCTTCAAGCGATTGTATAGCGAGCCATACGCTTCGAAGAAAATGTCTGCCAACCGTTTCCTTTCGATTTCGACGAGAGAAGATTCTTTTTTATTAAGAACAATTTTATTAAGAAACAATTTTGACGTTATTGTTGCAGTATTTTAATATCGTTTGTTACCGTTTATATTTTTATATTACTTTACAAAATTAGTCTTTTACGTATCTTTCGGTTAAAAAAAAAAACAAAATGTTGCTCACCAGAAATCCTACTCTCTATAATTCGGAGTGTATCTTGTACGAAAATAGCGCAAAATAGTTCGTTACAATTATATGACGACTGACGCAACAGAGCACGTTTCAAGGCGCGCGTAAATATCGCTCGCAGCCATTTATACGGGGGACGGATGAACGCGATTCCATTTGTCAGGATAATCGGAAATTACGGTATTCTCGTCAACTTGGGCGCTGTACGCGGCGGCTATACTGCGGGCCGTGTTCTTTGCTAAGTAAGATAGATAGCAACAAACGTTGTTAACACAGTGCGAAATACCGTTACACAAGAATGACATTATTAATGACGCCTCTCTTCCCGAAGGCTGCGCGGATGTATTCATCGGACGTTTTCATACTGCAGATCGCGCGCGAGTTGCTGCTAAATTACGGTAATTACCGACTTTCTCGCTGACGCGTACATATACGTCACACACGTTTATTCCGCACGCACGCTATGGTACTCTTTCCCCTCCCGACGGCGTTGCCAGTTAATTAATGCCGCGCCAGACGGACGGTCCTCAAGAAACGAATGTGTGTTCCACCGCAATGTAACGATCAACGGTTAATTCCCCGTCCCCGTTCGTACTTACCGGGGGGAGGTATCCGTAATACGCAGAACACGGCATACGGAATCGATATCATTACATTTTACGTCTTACTTGTACGCGTATTAAAGAAAATTTATACCGCGAACCATCTCTGCGATTGTGTCGTAAATCAAAACTAATTTTCTTTTCGCGTGATCACGCGGTGCAATAACGATTGCGCAGGTCGTTATTAAGAGAAAATTATCCTGCAAACAACATATTTGCCTTCCGCAAAGCGCGCGTCATCCGAATTCGCGAGAGATGTCACCTCGAAAAGTGAATTTACTCCGAACTTGAACTACTCTGCAAAACATTTTGCCGGAGAGAGCCAGTTTCACTCTACTTCACAATTAAGTTTGTTATCTTCGTCAATCTTACGTAATAATACAAAACAAAAAAAAACCCAAGAAAATAGAACTTAGAAAAATTTGGAATAAAATTTATTACAGAAACGCACAAGTGTATCTTGTGCGTATATTCTACTCTCTTTCTCTCTCTTTTTTTCGGTTTCAGCTGAAATTTTCCCGTTTGCACTACGTGAAATAAACAGTTTCGCGTTCGATCGCGGTCACGCCAAGAGAGAGCGGAAGGGATGGGGGTGGGTGGAGGGGAAGAAGACAAAAACAACTCACCGGTAATGACGTCAGCCGTGGAAAGCGAACCGGATCTGAAATTTCCCGCGGCGGGCGGTGATTGATCCACCGGCGCGGCGCGACGCGGCGATTCACCGGCCCGACCTGGCCGGGTGAGAACGACGTCGACGACGATCCCGTGCAGCAGTCACGACGCGGCACACACGCGCGCCCGTACACATATGTAACACGCACACGCGGGAGCGGGCCGTAGGAACACGCGTATATCCTATTTGGCAGATTCGATCGGACGATCGATCTGTGAAATCCGCACCACGTTACCCCGCAGCATACTTCACGTCCGGCGCGCGCGCGCGCACGCTCGCGCGGACGGCAATCGTCGCGTCTTTTTCGTCGCCGCTATCTTTTCTCCGTTTCGTTTTGCTTGGCACCGCACCGCGCGTCGTCTTCTTTCCTGTTCTCTTCCTTTGTCGCACTTCGTTTGTTTACCCCCGCTCTTCGTTGTTTTCCTTCTCTTGTGCGTCTTCTTTCGCTTGTCGCACTTGCACCGCGGCACTATCACACGCGTCCACGTGCACTGTCACGCGGCACCGTACACATGCGTAGACATTGCTCGTAGAACCGTCGAAACTCCCGTCTCTTTTTCCTCTTCTTTCGCCGCCTCTTCTTTGTGTCGCCGCTTCCGCTGCGATCTCTGCAGAAAGGACGGAGGATTGTAAGGAATCACGTCGAGTTGACGCGCGCCGTACTGGCAACGACGAAACGCCATTATTCGACTGGAGAACGCGAGCGACTAACTTCACGCGAATCCACGACCGCGCGCGCGCGCATGAGATACGCGGCCAACTTCACGCAACCGAACGCGATCCGAACGCGAATGATGAATCATGTGTATCTCTTTTTGTTTTCAAGGACGATTAAAATGCCTACTGCATTTTGACGATCTATAATATTAATTTTAGAGTGATGTATATATATACACACATCTGCAGTAATAATATGTATATATATATATATATTCTAATGTTTTATTTATTTATTTACACAATGCATTTACGTAGTTATCTCTTTTTATATTTTCGTATTTTGTAAACGATTGAATTCTCTGTGTATTCCGCCACTATTTACATTGTTATATCATGTTTATTTTTGTTTGGAATAAGTTTAGGAGTGGTGAGGAGGCAAATTTAGATCCTGGCCACGGGCGCCAAACTCTAATTACGAAGGGTACCGAGTAATACACCTAGGTTAGTATACCTAGCCTCGGGGTTGCGCAATTCCCGAGAGTGTATTTCGAATCGAGTGGCCGAGTCGTCGCGTCGTTTTCCGTTTTACGGCGAAACAAGCGAAATAATCACGACGACACGCCTCGTTGTTTAATCGAAGTACGTTGCACCGAGCGACAGTCGTTCGCGCGCATACACGTCATTATAATACAAACGCGCGGACACGTGTTCGCTCGAATTGAGAAGACACACGACGCTATTAATACACCGAAGCAATATGTGCCAATATATGTATAAACGTGCATACGTGAGGAACGATATCCTCCTTGCTCTTTGTCGCAAAGGTCTTCGATTTAGGGTTAACCACCGATTTTAATTTTAGAGATTTAATCGAACGAGTTCTACAAAACCGCAAAATGTACGTGAAATATTATAAAATCAGAAAAGAATTAAAAAATCTATAAACGTTCCTCAGTTCTTTTTTTTCCAGATTATTGATATAAAATTCTAAATTCCGTGTTGTTTTTCACACTTGACCACTACCACAATAAAGGCATTATTAATATTCTGTGTTTTGTTCCACAATACATATGTCTCTTTGTGCAAGCTTGAATCGTTTTTTTTCAATGCGCCTCCCGATTTGAATAAGAAAAAAAATTCTGTAGACGAGTAAATTGACGAAAGCGAGTCAAGGACTAACAACATCCCGGTTCCGTAACCTTCCTACTCGACCGACCTCGAGATAATCGGGCGAGACACGTCGCCGCCTTCGGAACGGTCGCTTTAGCCGACTGACCCTATCACAGCCTACGACCGACGCGCGCGATTAGGCGAATCGCGGTGTCCGGGCGTTCGACTTCCGGTTCAGTTGTGCTCGGCGCTGCGCGTGCTGAAGTCTCCGCATATTTCTCGACCCGCGGTATACGCCTCGCCAGTTTTGTTGTTTCGTTTCACTCGGTGTGTGTTCCCGCTCGCGATTCATCCCCACCGCAACCTGCCATCCCGCCTCTGTCACTCCTACTTCTCTCACATACACACACGCGACCGATCTCGTTCTCCTTCCCCTCGACGGTGATCAAGGTAGGCGCGCACCTCGCGCCCGAGAATTTCCTCATTGACCCGCGCTCGCCTCTCCTGCGCTCCGTGTTCCACCTGCGACTCGTCATCGTCCGTTATTAATATCGTCCCCGTTGCCACCGCGCGCGCCGCGGCAAGGCTCGTTATCGTTCCCACGACGCGGAATCGCGCGCGCCTATCGTACACGTCGCGTCACCTCCGTCGCGTTTCCATCCTTGGCGAGCAAAGCGCGACCGTATATCGGCAAACTAAACCGGTGGAGTTGCGGCATAAATTATCGAGATCTCGAGGATTACGATCATTGAGAGACCAAATTGCAATCGTGATTGACGAATAATAAGGACGATTACGACTGTAATCGTCGATCAAGCGGTTTTACCCGGAAAATAGAAACACTCGCGTTGCAATACGTATGTATGTATTTAAAACTCGATAGAACTCGTTGAATAAAACTCGTGATTTCGAATCACTCGTTACTTAATCGCAAAAAGAGCTGGAAAATTAACCGTGGAAACGTTTTAATTCCGTTCATCTTTTATCTTGTTTTTTGTGTCTTCTTAGACTTCTTGTATGTGTATGCATGTGACTCATTTTATTATTATTACACGATACTATTCAGTTTCATACGCGAGAACAGACGAGTGTGAAGAGAAAAAACCCCGATATATATATGTATATATATATATATATATTCGTGAGAGAAAATCGCGAAACGATTAAAGATCGAGCGTTTTTTTTTTTTGCGAGAAAGAAAACATCCTCAATCATGTGACCACGCGCGTACGCACGCACACAAACACATACATACACGCATACACACACATCCGACGGGAAGATCACGACGAATGGTATCTCTCTTTTCTCTTCCCTCCCTCCTTTATTCCCGCCGATCCTTTTTTACGCGGCCAGACGCGCTTCCTTCAATACCCTCCGCGTGCAGCCGCTTCCTTGTTCGCTTCTTCCCGCCGTTGTTCCCATCCAAAGGCGTCGAGTGTCGACCCGGGGTGCCCGAGAAAGATCCTCTCCTTTTCCGATCCCGCCTCACCTCCTGTAACAAAATATAACGCGTGTCTCGTTAGAACGTGTCTCAACAACGCCTATCAACTTAATTAAATAATCGACTAACAACACAATTGCGCGCGAGATGAAAAGCGAAAATGCGGTGTTTCTCATCCTCCCAGGATTGACATTTTTATTCAAATATAGCGCGCGATCTTCTTGAAGTTATTTCCAATATCACGACCTTTAACCTTTTCTCTTTTTGCGTTTGTGTGTTAGTAATGAGATGTTAAAAAAAGGCGCTGCGCGAGCACTTCGATTCGGAATTAAAAGATTTTGCCGTGTAATACGTGTCAAATTGAAGATACGTACGAGAGAGTTTCCCAAATTAAATTTTATCTCTTAAGAAAATCTCGAAATTAATAACTTTCCTTAAAAATAAACGAAGAGAGAAATCTTATATGCGTTAGTCTGTAACAAAAAGTTTAATCCTTACAGTTTCAATATACTGTAATGCGAATTTGCGGAGAGCGGGCGCGGAAAATAAGGTTCCCTTTGTTCCAGACAATCGCGATATCACGAGAGGAACATATTGGCTAATCAGTCCGCTAGTTTCTTCTTTCTCTTGAGCGGCGAATACTTGTGAAAACTAATTACGTTGCATTACGTTGGCCTGGCTCGCACGATAGCCGCGGTCACGCGATAACACGAAACACTTGCAACTCCACAGAATTATTCTGTGTTTTGATCTCTATTTTCTGCGTAATCGATGGCAATTATACCTCGTGTATTTCGATGTACATACGCCAATCCTTGCGTAAGGATAAATTAACATGCAAATGAGCGATCGAATGGAAATTGATATAATAAAAAAGTAGAGAGAAAGAGAGAGAGAGAGGGAGAACGCAACATTGTGTGTTTTCTCTTCTCTCTCTTTCTTTCTTGTAACATCGATTCGTTTATTGTTGCACATAGAATACTCATTATTCGGGATGGAAGTCTGAAAATATCAGACGGCGTACGTGGTGAAAAGAAATTACGTTTTGCATCGTTTATTGACCCGTTGCTGTATGTTTGTAAACTCGCAAACAACAATAACGTATAGACGTGACATACGTTACGACACAAAAAAAGGATATCGATAAAAAACTTTGTAGAAATAATGTGAGATAGTGTGTGTGCACGTGAGCGAGTAATAAATATAATATTTCAATATACGTAAATGTTCATATTTTAAAATTATATATACAAACATAAATGTATATCATTAAAAACATACACTTATTTACACACACACACACACACGTACATATAACAGAACTCGATATTTCGTACACTTATTTAATTGCGAGATTTATTAAGCTATATATCGCAACAAAAAAAACCAGTGTTTTTAACGTGAATTTCTCGCGTTTTTGGCTTTTTTTGCCACAAACAAATTGCAATTTGCAAATCCGCAGTTCTCTATGCGTTCGTTACAACACCTAGAGCGCGCGCGCGCGTAGAGAAAACAATAAATATAGTCCATATTTCTCTAAAAATTCGCGATATGGCAATTATATCGAGATACCAAGCATGCAATAAAAACGATCGATCTTCACGCAGTGCTGGAATAAAAGAGAAAGCATCTGACACGTGTCTGACACTGCGTCCCCGGTGCTTCGAAGGAGGAAACGAAACAACTCCGGGATCGATTCTTCTCCTCGGTCTGGTTGAATGCGCGACAATAGCAAAAACGGTAAAATATCAGCTGTGTCAGCTTATAGTTTCTCAAATAGCGATCGATTCTCTCGTTACCGTGCGAAAAACAAAAAGCGTCCGGCTTGGATGTTTGAAATGGCTCGCGAAAACGTCTGCGTTTGATTATACAACTAACACACTGCTCCGAAATTAAAAATATACCATCTCCCAAAAAATCGAGATAACATCGTGTTTCAACGGTATTACTAAATGTCTCGGAAAAAACATCGAACGTTTTAACGGGAACAGCATCAAATATCAGTTTTAACAGAAATTTGATTAAAATAATAAATAACTTCAATAATTATTAAAATAATAATGTTTTTTTTGGAGCGCAATTGCTATTTTTAAAAAATTCGCCAAGCGAATGGAAATTTCGCGCGAGGGGAAAATACAAAAAGATCGACTGGAAATTAATCGAGGAACTCGTTACACGATTACACGGATGATATGTACGTAGATGGGAAACATCTTACGCGCGCGCGCACGCGCGCGCGATATCGAGGAACAAACATTCGCTCAAATAACTGTCGTTAATGTCGCGAACGTGCGTGTTGAAAGTTTTCTTGAAATCTAATCACACGTTTTATATCATTATGGCCCGTTGTGGCTCGATGGAAGCTGAGTCATCGCGCAGCGGATGGATATAGCGCGCGAATACGTGTACGCACGATTAATAGTAAACTTGGTCGTTTACCTTGAAGATGTTTCTTTTAAGGTACCTTACGTGTCCAAACCTCCCCCCACTTCGCGAGCAACGCGCCACCGGCTCTACACATCATCTCTCTCCCATAATGCTTGACGCCGCTTAACTTATTCAGGTGGCAAAGAACAATGTGACGCAAGACTCGGGCTTTTCGCGCAACTTTCGCGTTCGCATTGAAAACATCAGCACGGTAGAAAACATCTTACAAGAGCAAATTTTTTGTCTGTGTGTGTGTGTGTGTATTTATTTAAATGTAATTTATACACAGCAAAAACACGTATAGCAGACAATATCCCCCAAAAATTTCATTTCGATATTTTAACGTTATTTTAGAAATTGTGAAGTTCTTCTTCAATTTATTCATGAGATTCAAGATCTCATTTTGTTTAGTAAACCGCAAGGGTTTATATACCTGAATATTAAGAAAGAAAATAATTTAATATACATATGTATGTGCGCGTTGTAATAAAGTATTCTTTTCAATCACATTTCAATCTTTAATTTATTCTCGTGACGTAATGTTCACGTTTTTGTCATCTTGCTGCCCACTATCTTTTCTGTGTGTACTTACCATAAAAAATTATTACAAAGAAATACTATGAGTAAATATTACGTAAATTCGGATTATACAGGTGTAATATCTCTTCAACTCTGTGTGTGTGTGTGTGTGCGATTAACTGCCTACTTATCTATTTAAATACGATCAAAGTTAAACTATGAGTCTATCGGAGCCAAGGTATCGATAACTTCCACAATACGTGACGCGCTTTAACACCAAGTAGTAGTAAGATATATAGAAGCCTTTTTCGCGCGTGTGCGTGTGCGCACATAGCCGAAGCGCGAAGAGACTCTTTCGCAGTGACGCAGCTGGACTGGAGGACATCTTATTGGCCGGCTAACGTAAACACGCATATGCGCACACCCCTTGTCTCCTTACATCATGGAGTCCAAGATATATCTTCCGATCCCGTACTCTCTTCCCCTCTCCCTCTTCGTCATCTTCTTTCCCTTATCCGCTCACAGCCGCCGTATCCACACCCCTCCACCCGCGCTTCTAGCTTCGCTCATTCACCACTGACGCGCTGCGCCTCGCATCTCCTCCACCCCACCCATAGACCATGTAACCCCCCTTTACTTCCCCCTTTACCACCTTCTCTCCCACCCAGTAATCGTTCTTCCCCCCCCTCTCTCACTCTCTCTCTCTCTCTCTCTCTTCTTCTTCCATTCTCCTTCGTTTCTGCGCCCGAGAGACCCGGCAAAGAGTACTCCACATCGCTGCGACTCTCTCTTTGCACAAACAACACGCACACACACACATGCGAGTTCTACTTCTCGCTGCTGCACAGCGAACTCGTTTCCTCTGACGGCGACGAGGCAGGTTAGAGCCGGCGGTCGCGTATTTCCGACTCGACCAGCGGGATCTATAGGACCCCGTGTACGCTCGGGCTCTGTGAAGAGACCGGAGTCCATCCTATTCAGAATCGAACACGCGCAGATGAATAAACTTGTATCATTTGTACATTTGTAAAATCACGTTGCACTTTGAAATTTGTGATTTTGTCTTTTTTAACAAACAAAGATAAAATAGCGAATTACCTAAACTTTCGACTACCTAAAAGGTGTATCAAAGTTGTAATTATTATATATCTCACATACGTACAATCGTCATTTTATCGTCATCGTCAAAAAATCCTCTAACAAAGACTCGAGGAAAAAAAAACTTGACTCTTCGATGATCCCGATTAGCAACATTAACGGGGTAATTCACCGAGTTACTATCAGCTCGGTTTCATACGCGAAAGTTTCTTTTCGTAAAGATCCGTGGAAGTTGTGAACTTTACTACGAAGATATCCCAGGCATTCCGACGCCGACTGTACGTTTCACCGCATCCTTGACAAAAGCCTTGACTTTTCGGCGGCGAAGCGAAGCACGCGCGCGCGCGCGCGCGCGGCTCGGTCGCGTTGGCGGATTTCGTAAGAGTGTGCCACAGCACTAACCGGGGCTTGCTCAATCTTATTTTGCTTCTTCTCGACAACGACAACATATCAGCTTCGCTTATCAAATTTTATTTTCGCGCTCATCGCGCAATTGTACACTTTCGCCTAACTATTCTTCTTTTTTTCGGTCCGTTATCGATTATCGCGCGAGCGCGCACGGATGGTGACGGCGAAAGTAGAGACGATTTCATATCGCACAGTCCGGGAAAGCGCAGCTTCGCTAAAACACAACAATGAACCGCGCGCGCGCGCTCATATATCGTGAATTTTCCCTCTTTAAATCTCCATCGTCTCTACTCCCGCACTCTTGTTTTCAGTTACACAATTTTCCGATTCACGAGAGAATCCAAACGCGCCTCTCGTCTTTGTTCGCCGTGTCGCACGTTTTAACAACCAACTGTGCGCGTTATAAACAGCGATGAGAAAAATGAAAAACTCAACTAATTGAATGTTTCGTGTTCAATTAACGTCCTTATTTTGGAAATTGTTAATTTTTATAACAATAACGAAGAAAGACGATCCGCACAATAAAATTCAAAGATCGATGTAAAATAAACCCCCCAAAAATCCCCCCCTGCATTCTTTCTTTTGCAGAAAACGAAAAT